CCTGTATAAACTGTGTTGCATGCAACACAGTTGTTTTCAACAAATGTTGCATAGTGTAAGTTGAGCTTTAAAAAACAGGGAGTCCACATTATTTTCACTGTTTATGTAGTATTATTTGTAATTTATGCTATTATTATTATTTTATTTCTTTATTTAGGAGTTTGATGTGGTAGTCAATTACTGCACTTACTCGTGCTATCGCTCAACAACTTCTGTTGCTTTCCAAGCATTGATAATGGCCATGCTCTTTCTCCTTCAGGCCATTGGTATATTCCTTGCATTCCAGACTAGGAAAGTGAAAGTGAAAGTATTAAATGATGCTAAACAAGTCACTGCTATTATATATGTCACCAGTGTCTGTGTGGTGTTAATCATTATGACGACATTCGCTCTCGGCAGTTTTTTGAATACAAGTTCAGCTGTGTTTAGTTTGAGCATAGCAGCTGCTTCCACTGCCTTCTTGATATTAATATTTATACCAAAGGTAGAGCAATCTCTCTCTTTTTCTCTCTCTCTCCCTCTCTCTCTCTCTCTCCCTCTCTCTTCAATCAATAGCACTCTTTTCTATAGCTCTGAACTTTGTCCTTTTTTTGTAGTAGCAGCTCTTAAATAATTCTTTTTTTCTTGCTTCTCCATTAGATGTACAATTTGTACAAAGACCCAGACGGAGAGAACATCTTTACAGGGACTCACAGCTCAGCAGCTGTCCCTGGGATTGCTGCAGGAGCAGCTTCCATTTTAACCGGCGTCCAACCAGGCAACTCTTTCTTGCTTAGGAAAGAAAGCATAGGGATCAACATGGCTCTTGCTACACTGGGCGACGATCCAAAGGCGACCATAGCTGTCCTTGAAGCAAAAGTGTTAGAACTTGAGGAAGAATTGAGAAACAGTAAAATGGTAAGGGAACACATCTATGCATCTTTTTATCATCTCTCTCTCTCTCTCTCTCTCTCTCTCTCTCCCTCTCTTTTTCTCTCTCTCTCCCCCCCTCTCTCTCTCCTTCTTTTAGAATCCAGGAAATCCGACAAAAAGAGGCAGTTTATTCCCTGGCTTCATGTCAAAGAATGGCTTAGGTAACAACCGAAGCAGTCGGGACAGCACAACCGAAGGAAGTCGAGCTTCGGTGACTTTCGAACAACCGAAAGATAATTTAAACGCTGCGAATTCCATGACATCTCCGCCATCTTCAGTCATCAGAGAAAGCAGCGAAGAAATTGAAGAGGGCAGTGATGACAGAGATAATACGAATGTGACTAGTAATGGGATGAATGGTAATGGAGTGAGTAATAGTGGCGACTGTGTGAAGAACAATGATGGTGGGAAAAATGAAGAGGAGGGAACTGCCAAGACAAGCAGAACTGAAACTAACCTCTAATCAAATTATTTTATGAATGCTGCAGATGCAACCACAAACACACACACACACACACATACATACCCTAATAAATGAATGCTTTTTTGTACTTTTATAACTATCAATAAACACACACACACACACGCACTATTATTATAACTACAAAATGAGTGTGCTTTTTTTATAATTAATTGTATTTTTTGCTAGAAATTATTGTTTTTAAAAAGTTGAAGCATGGAATAGCTTTTAAAAATATCTTTTAAAATGTATTAAGAAAACCGGTTCTAATTTAACTTCAATTTTGTTCTATACATGTTGCATAGTTTATACAGGAGTGAATGATGAAGAAGGCTTTGGTATTATTGCAGTAAAATTTTTGTTGAAAATCTTTACTTTTAAAAAACAGTTTCTTTAAAACAAAACATGTAATAAGCACAAAAATAATAAGAAAAAGATATTTTTGATTCAAGATAGAACTCATATAATGATGGAGAGTATCAACCACACCCACCAGTAACTATTATATATATCAATTTCACAACACACACACACACACATACCATTGGTTATATTATTAATAGTTATAGTTAATATATCTCTAGTTATTATTAGTTAATTTAAAACGGTGATTCATGGAGCTCGTCTTCGAAAGTAAGGACCCTCTGAGACTCTGTTTTATAATCGTTTAATTCTTTTAGATCTTTGTTACTTTCGTTACTTTCCTCTGCTTCTTCTCTTAAAGTGAACATGTTCCCGTTACCAGCTGGGCGGGGTTTGTCCTCGGAATTTTCCTTCGATGAATCATTGACCCCGGAATCACCACTATTGTTAATATTGTTGGGGCTGGGAGGGGCCGGAGATCTCTATAATAGTATACAAAAGGTGTATCAGTAAATTCTAGTAAAACTACATGTACATACATATAGTACACTAAATATAACATAGTCCAGTAGATTTTATAAAGTTGCTCAAAACATAATTCGAAAAATTGAAGTCGGAATCAGCTCAAACTTTCTACATAGCATAAGTACATCAATATGTATCAGAAAATGTAATAAAAATTGGGGGTCATTTTTTAGCCATTTTCTGGAAAAAACCATGGGCTATAGTACAGGGATTTTTTCAGAATTTGGCCCATTTTTTAAAATGGCGGTAACTTTAAAAATTTAAGTCGGAATCGGCTTAAACTTGCTACACAGCATAAGTACATCAATATGTATCAAAAAATGTAATAAAAATTTGGAGTAATTTTTTGGTCATTTTTTTGTAAAAAACCATGGGCTATAGTACAGGGATTTTTTCAAATTTTGGCCCATTTTTTAAAATGGCGGTAACTTTAAAAATTTAAGTCGGAATCGGCTCAAACTTGCTACACAGCATAAGTACATCAATATGTATCAGAAAATGTAATAAAAATTTGGGGTAATTTTTTGGTCATTTTTTTGTAAAAAACCATGGGCTATAGTACAGGGATTTTTTCAAATTTTGGCCCATTTTTTAAAATGGCGGTAACTTTAAAAATTTAAGTCGGAATTGGCTCAAACTTGCTACACAGCATAAGTACATCAATATGTATCAGAAAATGTAATAAAAATTTGGGGTAATTTTTTGGCCATTTTTTTGTAAAAAACCATGGGCTATAGTACAGGGATTTTTTCAAATTTTGGCCCATTTTTTAAAATGGCGGTAACTTTAAAAATTTAAGTCGGAATTGGCTCAAACTTGCTACACAGCATAAGTACATCAATATGTATCAGAAAATGTAATAAAAATTTGGGGTAATTTTTTGGCCATGTTTCGGAAAAAAACCATGGGCTATAGTACAGGGATTTTTTCAGATTTTGGCCCATTTTAAAAAATGGCTGTAACTCAAAAAATTGAAGTTGAAATAAGCTCAAACTTGCTACACAGCATAAGTACATCAATATGTATCAGAAAATGTAATAAAAATTTGGGGTAATTTTTTGGCCATTTTTTTGTAAAAAACCATGGGCTATAGTACAGGGATTTTTTCAGATTTTGGCCCATTTTAAAAAATGGCTGTAACTCAAAAAATTGAAGTTGAAATAAGCTCAAACTTGCTACACAGCATAAGTACATCAATATGTATCAGAAAATGTAATAAAAATTTGGGGTAATTTTTTGGCCATTTTTTTGTAAAAAACCATGGGCTATAGTACAGGGATTTTTTCAAATTTTGGCCCATTTTTTAAAATGGCGGTAACTTTAAAAATTTAAGTCGGAATTGGCTCAAACTTGCTACACAGCATAAGTACATCAATATGTATCAGAAAATGTAATAAAAATTTGGGGTAATTTTTTGGCCATGTTTCGGAAAAAACCATGGGCTATAGTACAGGGATTTTTTCAGATTTTGGCCCATTTTAAAAAATGGCTGTAACTCAAAAAATTGAAGTCGAAATAAGCTCAAACTTGCTACACAGCATAAGTACATCAATATGTATCAGAAAATGTAATAAAAATTGGGGGTGATTTGGAGCCATTTTTTTGGAAAAAACCATGGGCTATAGCCTTGGGTACTTTTCAGAAATTGACCCATTTAAAAATGTTCATAACTCAATAATTATTACTCAAAAGCACCTCAAACTGTACATGTACATGAACTCACTGCTAGTCCTAATCTCGAGACAGGTAGTGATGCAGTTACATCCAGACCGGGTGAGTAGCTAAGACTCCGCCCTTCTCTACTATTATTACCAATCTTTAGTGCTGCCAGTCGTGGGTTATTGGTATCCAGTGCACTACCACTGGAGAGGACACGCTTACGAGTCTGGTACGGAGTGACTGCCTGTAATGAAATAAAAACATGTACATGTAATCGTTTGCATGTTTTGTATATTTCAGTAATCTCTTGTACATTTCAGTAATCCCTTGTATATTTCAGTAATCTCTTGTATATTTCAGTAATCTCTTTTGTGTATGCATATCTTGCCTCGTATTTTCCCAGTCTTTTCTCCAGCTGCTCAATATGATGGACCATGTTCTCGTGGTCTACTGCCGTCAAGTTGTTACCAGCAGACATGAAGGAGGGCTGACTGCCTTTCTCAAAAATTTTCTCTCCTTGTGGATCCTTATAAAGACTGTACCACTGAAGGAGGGAAGGAGAGAGAGAACGTGCAATAATCGAAAAAATTAATGCAATTTATTACTCTCATACTCATACTCTCATACCTATGCTCTCAAACTTTCACACTCCCATACTGATACTCCCGTACTCATACTTTCATACTCATACTCCCGTACTCATACTTTCATACTCATACTCCCGTACTCATACTCTCATTCTCATACTTTTATACTAATACTCCCATATACTCATACTTTGATACTCATACTTTTATATTCACACTCCTGTACTCATACTTTTATACTCATACTTTGATACTCATACTTTTATACTCATACTTTCATACTCACTTTAGGTATGAAAAGGATGCACAGCACTAGGAACGAGACTACTATGAGTCCGGTACTGAACACAGCTGCATCAGCGTTCAAGAAATTAGCGAGAGCCAAAGCTCCACTTAAAGTCACAGCCAAAACAAACGAAGTGACGTAAATGATGATTGATATCCACTTGGCATCATTTAGGACTTTGATTTTGACTCGACGAGTCTTTATGGCAAAGAACACGGCAGCGGACTGGACCAAAAACATCTTCAAGAAGACAATCGCAATCCAAATTATGCTACGCGGAGAATCACAGACTCGATTTTTGTACTCGTAAACAATGCCATACTCCTATTAACAAAAAAATTAAAAGGCATGGAAAATTTAAATTGAATACATGCATGTACATTGTATTGTACATAGTATACATTCAAATTTTGAGCTAATTCTGATCAAGATGATAAAATTTTGACTAAAAGATGAACATAGATTATTATACTTACATTCGTATCTGTGTTACTCCTTTCTTTGTCATCCACTAAAATTGGAACATACTGCCTATCGGCACCAAGAGCAGTAGACATTAACACAAGATCAATGATACACAGCACCAGTACTACTGCAAACAAGTGCCAATCTTTAATAGCTTTCTACAGGGGATGAAAGAGAGAGAGAGAGAAGACAGCTTAACACATTATACAATACAAATAATTCCGCTTACTCTTTTCTTTGGTGTCGGGTTGTGAAATATAAAATAAACCCTCCACATCTTAGCACAGATGGTACCGAAACAAAGAGAATACCCAACCAACTGAGTATAAGCCCGAATCTACAAAAAGACCCAATATAGTCACATGACAGTCATGTGACAGCATTATTAATAGACTTACATAGCAGAGAACATAGACTGCAGTGTAGTTTGTTGTAGGAAAGGAGTATATGAGGCCAGAGGCTGACATTAATATACAGCCAAGGACAATAAGGTAGTTTAAGTTAGGACTTGTGAGCCGAATTATCCTACGAGATTAAGAGAAGGTAAAAATCCATGTTTATATATTATACTGTAATGCAATAATTGTAATTTCCAGCCATTAAAAGTCTAATTTTGTTGTGTAAATTTTCACAAGAGAATCATGCAATGAAACACATGAGTCCAAGAAGATGCACATACATGTACATTTCATACATGCAAACGTACATATATATCTTAGACAAAATAAATATTAAAGAATGTAAAATAGCCAATTTATTTAAACTCTACAGAAGTTGCTACTGAAATAGAGTTCCTTATAATAATGAGTAATTTTAAACAGCCAGCATGATAACATATGGATAATGATATTATGTAGTTATAATACTCACTTTCTTGAGCGAAATATAAAGTTGACAATGGCAAAGATGATTCCAGTGATGATGGTGCTCACTCCCAGTATATAAACTGGTACGTATACATACACCAATATGCCGACTATCGAAATCTCTGGAGTACCATCACTTGGTACACCGTCTAAAAAAAGAAATAAATATATTATGAATGAAGTTAATCTTAGAAAATTTAGCGATGTGATAGCCATACGTTCTCATACATTGTACATAAAACCCTCTCCATTTTAGACCATTATGGACAAGCTCAATGGAACAAAATTTGATAAATTAAAAGTTAAAACACCAAAAAAATTAGTCAAATTTTTATTACTTTGCCCCTTCAAAACTACCAACTGTACGATACAAAGGATTGCCAATAAGTGGCTGCACATTTTAATTGAATTAAAAACTTACCCGACCATACACTGCCACTATTTTCATTATTCAGGTAGACCCAGGTATAAGCCAAACCTCCACTAGCATTCAAGGACACGTTGATACGTGCAATCAGAACCGGACTGAGTTCTCCGTTAGTCAAACGATACTGAGAAACCCTCGGCTCAGACTCCCGTCTGGTGCCATTGGAATTAAAGGAGACAGTACCCTAAAGTAATAATTAAAAATTAATATTAGTAACTAATGTATTAATTATGAAAGTGGGTGTGGTACAGTGGGTGTGGTCAATACGTACCGTTACACCAGTGAAGGAGATGTTGTAGAGTGTGTTGGCAATGTCTGAAGTGATGGAGCGACCGATTGACTTGTGATCAAACTGAGATAGATTGTAACTCAGGCTAGGAATCGAACTACATGTACATGCAATAAAAAACAAAAATAAATAAAAATAAATAAAAATAATATTTCCTTTGCTAGCTATACATGTACACGTACATGTACACAATAATGTATAGGCACTTGAATTATTAGCAAGAAAATAATTTTATAATTTATTATTATTATTATTTGCTGTACATGTAAATGTATAACTTATTTACACAGTCATAATTAATTGTTATTGCCAGGAAAAGGTGGCATAAAATAATAAACAAACAACAGCTATTGGAAAACAGAAGATAACAAGGAAGTAAGCAAAAATAGATTCATGTACATGTACATGTACAGTGTACCTGTTAATTGCTAGAGCGACAGCCCACAAAGCATCGTAAGCAAATGGTGCAGCATAAGACTCGGAATAATTGTAAGATGCCGTTAAGTTACGATACATAGCGAAAAACTGTGACCTTGTCTGTGAGGAAAAAATTAATAATTACTATAATATAATGTAATATTCATTATTAGCCCCACCCACATTTAATTGCCCCACCCACAATAATTAATAAAAAAGGGGCGTGTATTTTTTTAATTATTTTATTAATTTGTTTACCAGTCCAACATCAGTGGGGGTGGAGTCAGTTTCATAAGTGAGTGGATAGTTAGAGAGTATTAGCGATCGCTCCAGTAGAGACTGTAGCTGCTCATCAGTACAAGTGACCATTGGATCATACCCGGACACACCTACAGTAAGAGAGGGAGGGAGGGCGGTGGATAAAAGGAGTAAGCATATATTACCAATATAATATACACATTAACTATGTACATGTACATGGATGACGCATAAAATAATATAAAATTATATAGTAGAAAGTATTGGTACATTTACTATGCATATATATAAGGAAGAAAGGAGCATAAAGTTGCAGTAATAATATATGTACATTACAAGTACATGTATACATGTACATATATGCATGTACATGTACATGTACATAAGTTTTATTATTACTTTCAGTCCACCAATTCGCAGGATACCAGCCATAGACGAGCCAAACGTAGCGAGGATATTTGATATTGGGATCGTTTCTATAAGCCTGGAGGAGCGAGATTTTTATAAATTTACATGTACATGTAAATTTAAACTTACAGCACAAAGAACTCTCCTGGCGTGAGGTGGATACATGTTCAGCAAGTATATCCTTGTGTTGCTGCTCTATTATATGAAAAATATTAAGTTAAAATTAATTCAAAGTTATACACAACATAAGAACATGTACGTATATACATACGTATTAGAACATATATTTTTGAGCAACTTAAAAATTCGTAAAAAATCTAATTTTGATCGGAATGAGCTCAAACTTTAAACACAACATAAGTACATGTATATGTATCAGAAAATGTAATAAAAATGGAGATTTCTCTCCTTTTCAATTTTGGCAAAATTTGGCTTCAGACCATGTACTATATATAGTACAGGGACTTTGACCTGATTTTTGAGCAATTAAAAAATTACAATTTAATTACAGAATACTTTTTACATGTACATGTACATGTATACTTACTGTTCCAAAGGAAACTGTGTTAGCAACATCCTCGTCCGATTGAAAATACAACTGCTCCGCCATCATAGAAGAACCGTATATAGCTGAAGCAATCTATACATACAATAATAATAATAATAATAATAACAACATCAAGAAAATAAAAAATAATTTTTTCGCAACTCACAGCTTCGAATTCCGATTCTTGCTGCGTTACCGTGACTATCTTATTCCAATTATACTCGGCAAAGAGAGCAACAACTATATCAGCTATACCGAGGGAAGAAGGAACAGTACGAAATACATTCCGATACAAAGATCTCTGATTTAATACCGAGGATTGCGAAGCATAAGACATCTGCGAATAACAACAAGCAAAAATAGGAATAAAACTGTTATTTTTTGGTTTACATGTATACATGCACATGTAAATGTCCGGCTATGATAATGCGTGTATTATCAATTTTTATACTCACTGTTATTATTTCCCAAAAATTAGCAATTTCTCCGACATTTTCGGTCGCTAAAGAGCAGCCAGCGCCCAGCAGGAAGTATTTAATTGGGCTGGAACGTATTTCATCGAAAAACTGCCTCAAACTAACCCTTGAATCACACTAGGAGAAAGAGAGAGAGAGGGGGAGAGAGAGAGAGGGAGGGGGAGAGAGAGAGAGAGAGGGAGGGAGGGAGAGAGAGAGAGGGAGGGTGACAGAGAGAGAGAGATAAAAAGGAGACAGGAGACATCATTCTAGTAGACTATGTCTTTCTCCCACGTACTATCTCATTTACTCCAACATGACAAAATTAAAATATTACGTACGTGTACATGTGCATGTACATGTACGTGTACATGCATTTTTGTGTGTGTGTGTGAAAATCATGACAAAAGACTAATAGTAAAGTAAATAATATCCCTGTGGTTACTAGTGACTTTATGAATGAAACACGTCTCATGATTATAATTGGAAAAGAAATGTAGACAAATTGACTATTATTAGCAATTTATTGTACTATATACTCTCTCTCTCTCTCCTTCTCTCTCTCCCCCTCACACACACTCACTCTCTCTTTTATTTAATGAGAATTTTATAAAGCAATAGTGTATGTAGAAATAAATACATGTACATGTACATGTACATGTATGCATAAGAAAAAATTAATTTAAAGAGCATGCATGCAACATTTAACATTGAGATTCTCACAGTACTACACAATGCTGCACATCATTATAGTGTGTAAAACTGTAAATCATTTACATGTGTATGTCTACCAATTATCCAGGAATTAAAGCATAGAGACAGCTAAAGAATACACTACTGACAGTATTATACAACTAATACTTACACATGTACATGTTTATACTGTTATACTTAAAACAGGTACACCAACTAGCTATAGGCTATAGTAGATAGTACATATGTAGTATGCACATTGTAAGTGTTACTATAAATGAGTAGACATAGTGTTAAATTCTTATTATCAAAGTGAGAGTGACATGTCTTTCCATGAAATTACATATGGTAGCTAGGATATAAAATTGAATTTCTATCATCCAACAATAACAGCTAGGATTAGTCCAGATAGACATCATTAGCTCTCTGTCATCCAAGCAATAATAACAGACTGAGAAGAGATACTCAGTATTGTATTGTAAGCCAATTATAGCATAATAGAACTGCTAAAAAGATCAATTGAGATATTAAGTAGAGCTAGGGGTAGAGGCTACATACACATTATAAGAAGAGTAGATAATTCATTATTATGATAAAAAGCTAAGAGTACTTGTACTATATACACAGTGATATAAACTGTCGTGAGTTTAACAGTTAGCTTTAAAGAGGTTTGTCCCAACTCTGATCGTTTCCTGGTTGATAAAATGACTTTGTTCTGGTTTACTACACATCCAAAGTACACAAAATTAATGCATATTGCACAATGTTGTACACACGATTAAGGTATAATAATCATTTCTGAGAGTATACATTCATAGGATAAACAACATTAATATTATTCATTATTAATAATGTGATTTATAGTCACTGCAGACTTACTAAGTGAGCAAATGAAGATCAATAATAGAAAAGTCAGGACTAATACATTGAAACATAAAAATTGATTCATTTCTATATCAAAGTACCTGCATGTACATGTAGGTACTGCATGTACTGCATGTTCGTAGTTCCATGGATTAATTTGTATAGTACATGTACATGTACATGTATTTCGTTAGCCACATACATGTAAATTACTATTATGTGCATGTAGCAAATTACTATTACATGTGTATCTGCATGTAGTCATGATACAAGTAGTGCAATCTACTACGAAGATAAGGTTACAGACACGGTTTTATCAATCTATTGAAGTTGGAGATTTTTAAAGAAATATTTGAAATGATTGACCAAGAAGATTACAAAGAAAGAGAAGCTACACGTATACATGTACATATGCAACAGATACCTTTTAAAATAAAGAACAGAATATAATTGGAATCGTTTGATGAATGTACAAGTGTATGTTAGTCTAAGAGAAATACAAGTGAGGATTTGCATGTGTCCATTGCACAGTAGATCATATGAAGTAAAGAAGAAAGAGAGAGGAGAGAGAGAGGGGGGGGAGAGGGAGAGAGAGGAGAGAAAGAGGTATTAATATCCAATTGCTGAGAGCTAACTTAAAGGACACAAAATGATAACAGAAACTCTCCCTCATCAATCACTACAGCCTACACATTATTATCAATAGCTGTTATAGTCTATAGTCTGCTTTCCTCTTACACAGAAAAGGAATGCACTGACACTAGCAGAAGATAAGAGGTGGGATGTACATGGAGGAAATGGATGGACCCACACTAACTTCGCTCAAAAAAAAAGAAATCCCCTATTTACTCACAATTTGAGCCATGATGACATGCATGCAGTTAGCAAAGAATATACATGTACATGTAACAAAAAGGCAGCTTGATACATATAGACTGGTTATGAGCAAATTATAATAATAGGATAAAAGCTAAAGCTTGGCAGAGAGAGAGAGAAAGAGAGGAGATTAGAACATACAGATTGTCATTTAAAAGCTTCCATTATTATAATAGCTAAAGCAATTGTGTGTATACATTATTTTAAAACAGGAGGCAGACATCTGTCACAGACAAACTAATCCACAGATAGACAATGCAGAGTAGATATTGTTATTATTATTATTATTATTATTATTATTATTGTATGTAGCAGGTAAGTAATACAAATATGATTAGTATTGAGCATGGATAGTATTTTTAAACTATAACAACTGAAAATTTTTAAAAAATAATCGTTAAAAACAAATAACTATATTATATATATATACATGTAATACAATATGCCAACAGATTTAGAAATAATCATTTTAAATTATAATTATTTTATTATATATATATTTTTTGTAAAGTAAACAGCAATATGAGGGATGAAGCTGTAACACATAGCAGAGTCTCCCATGGGGCCATTTTAAAAATAAGTGCACGAGCAATGAATGACATAATAATAAAGCAATTGTAATGTTTAAAAGACATTTTGAATACAAAGGCACCAGCCAGCATGCATCTTTACCTGAGAGTTGACAGCAGCTTCACCGTAAGAGAGGGAGTAGTCAGAAAGTAGGCTTTCCCTATCGTTAATATAGTCTAGGGCCATGTCCACAGCTGGCTGGACCCCGGCCGTGTTCTCCTCGAGTAAGAAGTCCCTTTGTCTGGAGGGACGGGAGAGCATAAAGATGAAAGTGATGTTGCCATCTTCGCTCTTGACGCAGGGTAGCTGCAGGGAGGAGATACACAGAAGGGAAAGCAGGAGAGGGATCATGTTTTGGCTGCTGGTTCAAGTTCTATCCCCCAGCAATGCTTCGATGCTTTTTTGATGAAATGATAAAGCTTTGCGTCAGAAAACGTCACGGTGACGCGTAGTGACGTGTACTAATATGAATATCTACAGACAAAAGCACAATGATTTTACAAATAAGCATGAATACAGATAATAACAATCATTAGTATCATAACAATAAACTCTTTGTCATGTATGGGCCTTCTAGTTCGTAGCCAATCTTGCGATAATAATTCCGTGTACCGACACCTGTAGAAAAAAAAACAAAGATAAAAATATAAATAGAAGATATATTATTGTCATACAAAAAGTATTAAACTAATAGCTTAAGCTGTAATAATAAAAGGCAAAGGTTTTGCTACAAGGAAAACTCCAACTAGACATAAAATACAATCTCTAAGATACTAATAACATCATAACATTGAAAGTGTGAATTAGCTAGAGCTAGCGCCTGGTAGAAATTTAAAATCAAAAACATGTTTGTCGCCCAAGACACAATGAGGTGAGAAGGTGAGAAGGCAAAAATAAGTCAAGCAGAGGGAGAGAGGGAGAGAGGGAGAGAGAGGGAGAGAGGGAGAGAGAGAGAGGGGGGGAGAGAGAGAGAGAGAGGAGGGGAGAAAGAATGAAAAGGATAGAGGAGATTACCAGAAATGACAGCAATCTTGTTAGAGCCATGCTCTTCCAATGCGATCCTTTCCGCTTCTTCCATCAGTAACATCCCGAATCCCTTTTAACATTGAGAAAAAAAACAATAATATTCAACTGTAAAATAATAACTGTCACCATCATTTCTTATTGTAAATACATTCAATTTCAATATGGAAAATTTTTATCACTAGCGATAATCAATATAATTCTTTCCTTGAAGCTTCAAACTAAATGCATTGTTTTTGCTTTGTTGATAGTATACATACATGTATGTTGATTCCATTGCTATTTCCTACATTACATCACTCAATGCATCAATAAAAACAACATTGACACATGTGCATGTATATATACATGTACATCAATCATTTCGTTATTAAAAATGAGCTTGAAAGAAACACACACTACACGTACATGTAGTACACGATAATAAAACAATAATAAAAAGACTACAAAAGGATCCATAATCCTATACATTCTTTATTATTGAAACACCACATGTGACACTCACAGAGAGAAGCCAGCCACATTGTATGTGTCATTGTGATGTAATGATGTGTGAAATAATCGAATTAAGTACAAGAATTTAAGTCTATTATTGTCCAAACACAATTAGTGACCCTTCACAATAACTTAAAGTTTAATTCTTATCTTTGTAATTGTAAAAGAGGAAGCATAATTCCTAGCAGAGTAATACAAAGCAAAAGAGCAGTTAATATGAATATAACACCACGCACATGTATGTAAATGTAACTGTTATTTATAAATAATTATTTATTTATTTATCAACACCTCTTATCACAATACTATAGTTTCATTGTTATTAGTACTAACAAAAAACTATCTTTTAGATTAGATCTTTTAATAATTATAAGTCCACCCACTACCTGAAATAAAAATCTATACAAGTCCAAACACTATACACTTATTATATATACAAGATGAATGGTTATAATAAAAAGGTGCATTCTATAAACCATAAAAAGATTAAATCTTAATGATCCTTAGCAACTATGTAGCCACTTATCTAGTAGACTATCACATGTACACGCATGATCTTAAAATATGGTATGTAGGTTATAATAATGACAGATAAGTACATATACAAACTGAAGGTAGGTCATCAACCCTTGCAATGAGGGTATGCACTGTAAGCTGACCTTTACTTCCTTTGAGGCCTAACCTCATACTACTACTAAGTGCTAGAGCAGCAGCTACAAGCAACTAATAATGCAATGAAGGAGAGATAAGGTTAACTTTTAAGTGTGTGTGTGTGTGTGTGTGTGAAATCAACAGACAAGATAAACAAGATGAAAATTCCAGACAAATATAGTTGCCCAGAGATGTAGACATGCTGTACATGTACATGTACACAATTGAACATACATGCACATGTGTACATAAACTGAGATGTCCACCATTATTTCTATAACTTCCTACCATACATGTACATGTAACACGAGCGTCATATTGATCAGCAACATGTACATGTACCTAAACTCATGTACATTGTGTACATGTACATACCTGGTGCTGGAATTTTCCTGGATCTCTCGAACTAACTGGAACAACACTGCCATAGCTAAATGCATGTAAGTAGCATTGTTAAGAAATAAAAATACATGTGTGTACACTATAAAAAAATATATACCATATTGTGTGAGATACATGTAAATTATATACATGTATATGTATTAGTTTACAATCATCAGATTGTGAATTACTATCACACCACTACTTCTCTCATTGAAATAACTGTCAAGTTGTAAAAGGCAAAGTTATCTCAATAATCAGACGAACAGAACACGTCATGATAAATCAACTAAATATAGAATATACTGACTGGGGAAGTATACAGTGTACAAATTTATTGAATTTACTAGAATATACAAGAATATAAGGATACACATGTAATTCTCGTACAATGGAGACACCTCCGACCAATTCTGGTCGGTAGGTTTCTTCTGAACATTTTCTGAGGCGAAGGAGCCCAATAAGAATATCTATGAATAGAAACAATATCTAAAAATAGAACTAAGTCACATGATTATCACATGATGACATTCAGCTCAGATGGCCCCTGTGCATTTTAATCATCTTTCCACGCCCACCACTTGTAATTGCAGTGGGCGGGGTCTGGGGAGCCGTGACACTCCCACTAGCACAAATCATCACTGCTGATCCTCTCTCTCTCTCTCCCCCCCCCCTCTCTACCTTGCTTAGGATCTTCATAAGATAGGAACGTTTCCCAGCCTCCATTAGCGACGTAGTCTCTTCGAATCAGCTCAACCTCGTAAGGACTGACCTTGTGATGAATCTCTTGTATCCCAACCTCCCTAGTCCTAACATCACGACACTGGAGGGAAGAGAAATAAAAGAAAGAAAGAGAGAGAGAGAGAGAGAGAGAGAGAGAGAGAGAGAGGGAGAGAGAGAGAGAGAGAGAGAGAGAGAGAGAGAGAGAGAAAGAGAGAGAGAGAGAGAGAGAGAGAGAGAAAGGAAGGAAGAGAAGACGTAATTATAGTAAATTGTGATTATTAATATCATTTTTAAAAAGCAATAACAAGCAGCTGTCATTTCAAAAACTACTTCCCCCTCCCTCACTTTAGTCCCAAGATCGTTCATCCTAGCTAATGCTAGCTCCCTCAAGTTACCATGCTCCACCCCTGAGGTTACCAGTGGCATTGGTATATCCCTTTGTACCCGATATACTCGAGTCCATGGAGGAACGAGGGAGAGTATCCGAGCCACTAAATCAACAAGGACTGATGGTGGGTAACTCTTGTATCGACCTACAGCAAAATTAATTAATGGGCGTGGTCCAAAGGGTGGAGTAACCACACCCACAATAGTATATACAAGTACCTGTTTTCCATAGTTCGTATAGTCCAGTTCCTCTTATTACGAGGGTTGGGTAGATTTTGAGTCCGTCTGCTCTGAAAGCAGGGTTCTCAAAAAATTCCTAAAATGACGTATGATTCGGCAGTTTATCCCTCTCTCTCTCTCTCTCTTACAATGAATTGCTCTATATCTCTCTCCAGTCCAACATTAGGTAGGTCAGGCATCATGTGGGCCACTACTTTAAAACCAGCATCCTTGGCTGCCACGAAGGACTCACATACTGCATTCACAGTGTGACCTCTGGAAACAGAAAAAAATATATATACATGTAATACATATACATCTAATACATGTACATCCTAATATGCTGTCTATTTTGAAAGCTAAAATAAAAGCACAGACCATGACCATGTACATGTAGATTTTTATAATATGAACTGTTTGTTAATCCCAATCAAAAAACCTCTCGAGCTTTTAAGTACATAAGTGTATTTAATTAATTAAAACACATAGTTATAACATATGCAACGTGTACCATATTATAAAAACTTTGCTAAAAATTACATGGCTCACAACTTCATCAGTTACAAAAAGACAATTACTCAAAATTAATTGAATTATAGTGTGCAGACATGCATTAAAATACACACAGACAGGATGATTAATGATACATGTAGTGTATGTATGTGAATGTGTCTATCTCTCCTTCTTTTACAAACCTGTTTGTGTCTCTGGCTACATCCTCATAGACACTCTGCACTCCGATTTCTAATCTAGTACAGCCATAGGAGAGCATCTGACTCAAGTGCTTTCTGAGGCAGTAGTCCGGCCTTGTCTCTATTGTAATGCCAATGCATTTTACAATACTCCTCTCAGAATATCTGGAGGGAGGGAGAGAGAGAGAGGAATATTAATAGTCATTGTTAGATCTAGATTCTAGAAATAATTTTAGGAGACCAAACTAAAGACTATTTAGACCTAAGCCCCATATGGGAGACCAAAAGTCTCCAAAACTCCCTCTAGATCTAACACCATTGATAATAATCGTAACAAACATCCACATCCATGTGCTATGTACATGATCTGTTTATGTCAGTAATTCATTACACACTTATACGATTAAATTTAATTGTTGCCAGACACAACACACGTAGCATGCGTATGTACATCAGTCAATTACATAAGAATTATAAGACTGATAAGAGACGAGATTAAATCATGTAAAAATGACAATTATGTTAATAATCATTTTGCTTTCGTGTTCATTCAAATTCTATTGCACATGAAAAGCAATAAACAACCTTTCACTCACTCAACTTGTCTCATCAAAATTCATTCAAGTAACAATAATACTTCACAAGTTCGCCACATGTCAACTTTTAATAACTAGTAATTTAATATATATACTCTTCTTTCAATTTAATCTTTAAAATGGTGGAAAATTGTGACTTACTTGACAGCTTCTTCAACAGAGTTGCTTGTGTGACCAGAAAGTGCGTCGTGAAGATTACGAATGAAGAAGTCTTTGTAGGCGTCGTCCAGTGCCATGAAGGTGCCGCCCATCACGATGTACTCTACCTTATCAATGGAATGACCCAGCTGCTTCAACTATAGAACAAGGGAGAGAAAAGAAATTGAATATAATGATTATTTTAAAATTCCATTTTATCCTTTAAATCACACTATAGTACAGGCTGATTTTGGAGTAACTTTAAAAATTCATAAAAAATTCAGTTTTGATCGGAATCAGCTCAAACTTTCTATGCAAAATAAGTACATGTATATGCATTGGAAAATGTAATAAAAATGGAGAATCCTCTCTTTTTCTTTTTTGGCAAAATTTGGCCCAAGACCATGTACTATAGTACAGGGGCTTTGGCCCAATTTTGAAGTAACTTTAAAAATTTTTTTAAATCAAATTTTTATCGGAATCAGCTCAAACTTTCTACGCAACATAAGAACGTGTATATGCATTGGAAAATGTAATAAAAATGGAGAATTCTCTCCTTTTCAATTTTGGCAAAATTTGGCCCGAGACCGTGTACTATAGTACAGGGACTTTGGAGTAACTTTAATAATTATGATAATATGTAACTCATACCTGAGCTAGTCTGTGCTTTGACTGAAGGTAAGGATTATACCTTGCTCTTATAGCTCTCATTGATGTTGGCTATATAATTTTAAAAAAATTAAAATCACACTATTTTCCAGCCATACGACACAGTACCTCATATCCTGTATAAGACTGTGTAGAATATTCAAAATCTGAATCTGGACCTCCAGGACAATAACTGAAAAGATAATAAAATAATTATTTAAAAATACATAACTTTATGGATATTTTTATAATTTTTTATTTATTTTTTCAATGTAAAAAATATTCTAATTAAAGGGACAAGAAAATACATGTAATTTCATAATTTTTCAAAATACATGTAATTAGAATATGTAATACTCACACGCAGATGTTACCAGTGAAGGTGATGTGAGGGCACCTGTGTGGCTTACACATGACGGCAACAACCGCAATACCCGATGCTGTACGAATAGGTTTAGCCTATTGATAATATACTGATAATATCCTGATAATATACTAATAGTATACAAATATACAGATACATGCATAATTATATAAATAATTATAATAATAGTTGCCTCATGTATGTACATGTAGTACATAGGGGATTTGGTTTCAGAGTTAATTTTTGGAAAAAAAGGACGGACATAAAAAAAAATAATAGTACATATTGTATATTTATAAGCATCATTCATTATTAATGTAATTCATTAATAGCTTTTAATTTACCTTTAATTTGGGTAACAAAGCTTTACGATAGTCGGGAGGCACAGCTGCTATTATATCAACAAGACGAGGTTGAGTAGAGAGACCATTCTTACTAGCCACCTCTCCTTTTAATCTAATGAAAGAGAAAGGACGGTCTAATAAATAATTAATTAAATTTAGCCACACCCCCTCTTTAGCCACGCCCTTCGTTAATTGCTTATTTGAACCTGTTTAAATTAACGTCTTCTCCTTTTTCGTGTGCTTCAATTAGAGTACGGACAATCTCAGAAACGGTCATTACCATTCGTTCTGCTTTTGAAACTTGAGGAGCTATTGAAAAAACACAAAAAGAAAGAAATTGAGAGTTCAAAAAATTAAATGACCTTTTGTCATATTTTTCCTTTAAATACCTTTCTTTCCTTTATTTTTCCCCATCTCCTTCAGGTTATTAGTGATGGGCAATTCCGAGTCCAGAGCATTCGATCCTTCGAATTTCGATTCCGAATGGAATCTCTGCTTTGCGCATGCGCAGATCTAAAAAAAACTCTTTTAGACGCGCCCTGCTCTTGACTTGAGTTGAGTCAGTACTCAGTACTCAGTTTTATTCGAGGTTTTATTACCAAAAAGAGAAGACAAGTTCAGGGATCGTTTTGCTTCAATATAGCTGGTCCCCACCTTGTGGTTAGGTGGGGACCAGATGAGATATGGCTACTAACTCTGAAAATGATTTACGCGAGACTAAAGATGATTATTATGAAAATGACAGCATCACAGATTTTATTGATGAAATTTATGAAGAAGCAGGAGTTGCTATAGATCCATTTGAAGAAGGATATTCAGAAGATGATCCTTTTGCAGAAGAAGAAGCAGAAGCAGATGAAAAAGAAAGACTTACAGATGAATTTTATGAATTTAGAAAACTGCAAATAACCAAAGGAGCACTTGCTGAAGGACAAATGGATGTTGCTTATTCACGTGTCCTATTCCTGGGTACTGCTGGTGTGGGGAAGACATCTTTTAAACGATCCCTTATGAAACTACCATGGAAACCTAACACTACCAGTACTATCATATCAAATATTAGCAAAGTCCGTCCATTTACACACAAGTGGCACACTGTTAAAGATGAAAAATGGAAAGTTGCAACACATGAAGATGAAATAGAAGAATTGGCTCATTTAATTTTAGCTGTTTTTAAGAATGAAAATACGCCCATTTCAACATATTTTTCAGATTTTAAGAAGAAAACTGTCCAATCAATACCAAATGGAATTGAAGATGAAATTATTTCTCAGGCTTGGTCTCGTGCAAACTCCCTTAAGCCATCATTTTCATTGGAGCAACCATTACTTGCTCAGCCTTTTCTTCATTTTTGGGATTGCGGTGGTCAACAACCTTTTCTTGAAATTTTGCCAGTTTTTCTCACCTCTCGTACATTGTTTTTTATTATTTTTGATGCTGAGAAAGATTTACAATCCAACTGGAAATCTGTACTTCATATTGATGGTACGAGGGTTGACCAGGAAGAGGGTACAATGACAACACTTGACTACATGCTGAATTGGATGGCTAATATTCATGGCCACCTAATGATTTATGATAAAGATGGTGGTGTTTGTGAATACCCACGAATGTATTGTATTGGCACTCATGGAGATTGTATAACAGAAAAAAGGAAATTGGAAATTAAGCATGAGCTGGAACATCATTATGAAGGCAAAGATTATGAAACTTTAATGAAAGCTACAGCGATTGTTGATAACACCACTTCTGGACAAGGTGAAGCTGAAGATTCTTCTTTTGGAGAGCTACGGGAAGCTGTCATTAAATTTACAACTGAAAAGCTTATTGTAAAGACACCTGTCAGCTGGGTTCTCTTTCGGAAAGTACTTCAGGTTCTCAGTAAAAATATTAATGTCATTAATCTTACAAGAGCTTATAAAATTGGAGTTGCTAGCAAAATTCCTCAAAGAGATGTGCCTCATGTTCTCACCTTTTATCATGAACTGGGTGTTTTGTTGTTTTACCCTCAACTCATGGGCATGAAGGATAGTATTGTAATCAATCCAAAGTATTTTGTTGGTGCATTAGGAGAAATTTTTCCATTGACCAAAAATAATGACAGCGGTTATCAAAAAGAATGGAAGCTTTTTCACGAGTTTGGCATTCTTGTCCAACCACTTTATGTAGAAGTATGGAAAAGGCACAAAGATTTAAAACCAGTATTTTTCATTGAAGTACTTGTATATTTTCGTCTTGCAGTTGAAGTTAAAACAGATAAATACCCTCCTTCTTCCAAACAGTATTTTATGCCACTTGTTCTTCAATCAAAATCAAGTGATGAAATTAAGTTGTTGGCAACTTCATGTTCTTATTCTGTAGCACCAATTCACATTACATTTAGTAGTGGGTATGTACCACCTGGTTTCTTTACTCGTTTTATCGCTGTAGTTACAGATGACCCAAACACCGAACTCTGTCTTGAGGATGGAGTCTATAGAAATTGCGTCAGTTTTCGTTATCAACATCTTTACAGTAAAAGTATTGAACATATATTAGTCACTGATCGCCATAATGTCATTCAGATTAATGTTAGTCATCATCCTGCTTCATCAGATTCCTTATCTGTCCATGAAATTTGCCAAAATATTTTAAGTCTTTTACAAAGTGCCACACAAGAAGTTGCAGATATTTTAGAAAAATGTGGCGGGTGTCCAACCAGTAGTGAATGTATGAAATATGTTGTGACACAAAAGTTCCAATATATCTGCACTAACTGTTCTTCGTCTTCTTCACTTCATTATCTAAAAACTGCACCAACCAAGCAAACCACTGATGTGCATGTGTGTTGTTCAAATGACCGTAAATATAGACCACTAACTGATGAGGAACGAGTTTGGTTTGAAGATCCCATTGATCATAAAAAATCTGATCAAGCAAATTTAAGCACAGAGCACTACAGTGGTAACAATGAAACAACACGTTATATTTGTGCTAGTAAAGCTAGCAATACTCATCTTGCTGTTGCCTTTTCAGAGGATATAGGTTCAATCATGGAAGAATCATCAAGTCCTAATCTTTGTATTGAAGATCTTGATGATGTCATTGAAGAGTTATCCAACTTTGACGTAATTAACTGGCAACACCTGGGTCTTCACCTGGGCTTGTATGATCCTACTCTTAAAGCCATTGAAGAAAATTGCAGGGGAAAAGTTAGAAAATGTTTAATGGAGTGCATGGCTGCTTGGTTGAGGGGGGAAGATAAAGTTATTAAAAAAGGAGGGTCAAACTGGTTATCATTAGTGGCCGCACTCAATAAATCAGGAGAACAACACATTGCCAATGACATTAAAAAGAAGTTTTGTAAATTTAGTTAATTTTTTATGTAGTCTAGACTGTTGCTTTTTTTCTCTAACTAGATGTAATATGCTGCTTATATTTGTGAGGAATTTATTGTTAATTAAATTATCCATTACATTATTATTTCAATATTATTCATTACTCGGAATCCGTATTCGATTCCAGTCTCGAAGGTACTTGGAATCGGAGTCGAATGCAAATTTCATCTCTACAGGTTATGCTACACGTGACTCAAAAGTACCGATAGTAAAGGAAAATATACGGAGAGATAGCAATGTAGGTAATTAATTTACCGACGTAAACGGAATAGTATACGCCCACTAAAGACAAAAAGAGACAATTTCACAGTTGATTTTGGCTTTTTAAAATTCTTCAGAGTCTGCAATAGCTATTTTATTCAAAGAAAAGAGAAACGAGAAGAAATTTCTCCATTCAAAGTAAGAGATTGACGATATACTGTACCGAATCACCAAGGGGTTAATATTACCCAACTATGAAAGGGTTAATTTTAGGTCGCCATTTTAAAATGGCGTCCATCACCAATCTCCATTTGTATAAGCATCATTATCTTTTAAAAAAAAAATTCCTAGGTAAAGAGTTGTCATGGAAACCACAGAAACCCAAGCAGACCATGGGATACAAGTCACCTCTCCTGAAGAACCTGTTGTCATGGTAACATCCGGTGAAGCCCCACCCATCTCACTCACCCCGGTATCCACAGAGGTTCAGACATCTCCGCCTGTGACGACCATAAGTGCATCGGCACTCGTAGAGATATTAAACTCTGTGGCAACAGCAATTGTACCAGGAGATGGAGGGACAGGAGCGAACCTACAACTCCAGTTCCAATTAACGCCTGCCACTAATATTGAGGTAGTTGGTTGCATGCAAGAGGTTTCTGATCAAGTGTCTGGAGGAGGGAGGGTTGAAGGGCAGATAAAAGGGAAAGGTCAAAGTTTAAAGAAACAGACTGGAGGGAGGGGCAATCATGGGAAGCTTAAGGACAAGCAGCCATGGCATTATCACTTAGGTACCACACAATCATAGAATTAGAAATTATACGAAAATACACGACTCTAGCAAGTTAACAATGATTATTACACTGATATACATGTACATGTTAATATTAAATTGATGCTTGAGTGAACTCAAGCATGCTTCAAAAGGTCAGATTACTCACACTTTTAATCCAAAATTGAGAGTATACTCCGAGTGCCTAATGCATCATATAATTGTAAAACCACTTTTTCTCTGTGACAGGTGGTGTGAGACACTGTAGGGTTCCGCTATCTCCAGAGATAAAAGAAGCCTTAGAAGTAGCTTATGTGAGCAGAATAATGTCAAAGAACTTTCGTAAAGAAGGACAGCCGGAGAAAGAGAGAATAGCACAACTGACTGGGCTGGAACTGGATAAAGTGAGACAATGGTTTAAGTGTAGTTTGGAGGGTAAAATTCTCTAAATTTTTGATGATTGGTGGGTTTTGTTTTGCAAATTTGTGTAAATGTATACATCAGGACATAGTGAGATCTAAAGCCTTCAGTGTTTTGCACTCTTCTAGTGCAATAACTCTTATCCTTTAGGTACAAGAATGGTTTAAGAATCGTCGTAAAAAGGACAAGCTCGTCCAGTCTCGGGTCAATAGTCATGGGACACCTAAAGGAAAACGAGGCCGGAAATTACTCCTCCCTCACTCTGTGACTCGCTCTCTCAAAAATACACCACCCAATGCAACATCAGGCTCTCTTCTTAGCCAGTACAATCAAGTATGTACTTTTTATAAATTTTGGCAATTCTTGTCACTATTATAGTGACGTGTCATTTTGCAATTTTTCATTGTAGGTTGATAAAGAAGACTGACCCCAAGGACTGCATTAATATTATGTTCAACAAACTTTTCTAAAGTTGCATGCCATGCATATTCTCACGTCTGTTTTTAATCATTGGTTGAGGGCGGAGTCTGGCAAATTAGGCCCCTCCCCTTTTCTTCACTTAAAGGATTACAATTATAATAAATTGCAACAATTTATTTTGAAATGAAAACGAGTCACAGATGAATAAACACTTCATAGATATAAACATCTGTCCGCTTAATCTAGCCTATCATTCAAAAAAAGAAAAGAATTAAAAAACAACTACATTTGATTGCTTTCGTACCCTTTACATATTCCATCTTTGAGACACAAGCGATTCAAAGCATCGTCACTTTCACCCTAATTCAAAAAAAAAATTCTAACGAGTACATGTTATATTTGTATTTGACTAATGTCAAATTATTGCTAGGCGTTAAAATCCTTTTTGTCTACATTTTGTAATTTTTAACATTCTGCTATGGTCTTCATACTATAAAATGGGGAAATAATTTTTGTTGACCAAAACCAGGCAAAATTTGATGCTATGCAATATTTAACCCCAAAGACACGCCCACTAATTACGTAATTCACCATTCCTCTTAAAAATCCACACAGTGCATACGGCTTGTTTTGACCGGTGACTCTACCAGTGTTCGGATCAACCTATAAAATAATAAAACTAGTCACGTGACTTCAAGAGTAATCACGTGACTCACTTCAGCAACGTTTATCTGAACTGATGCATGGTCTTTGGCTGCTATTATTCTCTGAGTGTAGGAACTAGGAGACAAATAATTTTTAGAGAAAGTTTTCTTACCATTTTCTTGGTATGTAGGTGTCAACTACCTCTCCTGCGTCATTCTGCATGTTTTGAATGGTTCTATAACTTTTATTTTTTAATGGTTTTACACAAATAAAAGGAGAAAGAAAGAACCCAAAATACCACGTGCCTAAAAGAACTTGTCTTTTTTACGCATGCTCACTTTGGTTATTAAAATTTTGGCGAGGCGGGATCAGTTACAGAGGAGGTAGGACACGGTTGACCTTTGAGCAATAATTGCAAAGTTCAATTGCATTCCATTGGTATCACGTGATGAAAAATGGCAGCTTTCTGATGATTGTATCACAAAACTAGCTACTACTGCAGAAACTAGAGAGATCTATGACGACCCTTGACGGTTGTTAAAATCTTCATTGTATGGAGAATATTTCTTCTTTGATTATAGACATAAATATAAGAAGGAGAAAGAGACAGTGCATCTTAACTTTGATTCTCTTTTTTACTTCATCAGATAAATCAATCTTCGCTAGTTTAAGATGTTAAAAGTTACTGCAACTATCATAGTTTCTAGTGAATTAATGAAAGTCCTATTGACTCTATCTTGATGCTCTAAATTATTGCTAGAAGTGGTACTAGTGGAAGAATTTGGCCATTTTGCATCACGTGATACCAATGGAATGCAATTGAACTTTGCAATTATTAATCAAAGGTCAACCGTGTCCTACCTCCTCTGGATCAGTTATAAATTAAGTTATGAAATAAGGTGGGGTTTAGATTAATTTAAAAGGTGTGTGGCTAGCCTTGCAAAAACATCACATGATGGCGAACCCATTCGACGAAGGACCACAAAGAAATTATGGCAGTGTCTCTGGACAGGGTGGACGTGGTTTTAGTAGAGAGTCCTCTGGTTCAGGTCCGTAAATACCAAATTTATACATTTTTGTGCAATTGCAGAAGAACAATACATGAATATTATTAGTTTTGTTCCACCTTCCCTCCCTCTTCCATTTTCTTTTTTAGATTCAGAATTTCATCGAATGCGTAACACCATTTCTCACGCCTGCTCAGAAATTAACAGCCAAAGTAAGTTGAATGTCTACTAGTGGGTGTGGTTGATGATAGTAATAATAATAATGATGGGAATATTGCCTGATTTTTAAGTAACTTTAAAAAGTTTTTAAAAAATCCAGTTAGCTCAAATTTGCTACACAGCAAAAGAATCAGAAAAAAATAATAAAAATGGAGAATTCTCTCCTAGTCATTTTGACTATGTCCCTGTTTTGACCAGATTCTTAGCAACTTTAAATATACTGACGAGTAAAATCAAAAGTGGATAGGTTCTTAATATTGTATTGTAGCTATAGTCTAATCACTTTTGTACAATAAAGTTTATATTTCACATCTTAATGTTTACCTTTTCCTATCCAAATGGAGTATAATAGTATTGAGTATTGAATGAATTATGTACATGAATAGATACAATGTATTAGAGCAAATTATATATTGTAATTTTATTTCCTCTTTTCTTAATAGCTAACGAATTAAAGTCTTTGTGTAAAAAAATTGGAGGAAGACAAGATGACGCCGAGTTAAGGCAGCGAATGTAAGTAAAGCTGGTAAGACTATGTGGCCTTTATCTCTTTGTCTAGTCTTGCTGTAAGGAAAGCAGCATTTGAAAATGTGGAGACGACCACAGAGACTTTCAATACATTAATGACACGTTATGGTCGAAGCAATGATGTATGTTGTAGTATAAACCTTTGTACTTTATAAACCTTTCTCTCTCTTGTCCTTTATCTTATAATCTCTCTCTCTCTCTCGCTCGCTCTCTCTTTCTCTCTCTCTCCATTAGAGAGAACATACAATTGCTATCGAGTCACTACAAAAGAACTTCAGTAGAATAGCTAACGAGTTTTCTCAAGCCTACGAGGTGATTATAATATTTTCGTAAACATCGCATGTACATTTCTTTAAATTAGAGGATCGTCGGTCGTCTACAGGAGAATCCCAGACCTCGTGTCACTGACAGCGTCGTCGTAAGCTGTAGCTTTATTTTTCTCTCTCTTTTATTCGCTTTTAAATTTTTTAACAGAATACATCTGCTTCTGATGACACCATTCCAATATTAGAGGCAGAGCAGCAGCTGCATGAGCAAGACCAGATTCACGTCTCCTACACTGAGCAAAGAGCTGAAGCTGTAGAAAATCTAGCAGTGAGTCAAACTACCCATTCTTTGCTGGCATTAATTTGATTTTCTTGTACCTTGTACTCTTTTATTTGATAGTCTGAAATGCTCCATTTGCAAGACATAATGAACAGCATCAACAACATGGTCGTGGAGCAAGGAGAAACCATTGGTAAGGAAGGCTATTGTACTTTATAGCATTCATAGATCTAGAGGGATTTTAGAAGACTTTTGCTCTCTCGTATATATCCTCAAATCCCCCCATTTTTTAGCTTTTTGTCTTTCATATTTAGCCCATCTTTTAGTAAGATTAATTTCTAGATATAGCTATGTTCATAGACTTGAAATTAAATGCATCAGATTGTACTACAATATATTTTATGTCGCCTTTGTTTACTGTACTGTTGTTAGATAACATTGAAGCTCACGTTGAGAGAGCAGCAGTTGAGGTCGAATCAGGTCGAGTAAAACTAGGAGCAGCTGCCAGATATAAAGTAAGAGAAAGAAAGAAGGAACATTTTTGACCTTTTTTAATTTATTTTTAGAGATGTAATAGACGCCTATCGTTCTGTATCTTCCTGATTATTTTAGCTATTGTCATTGCCATCATTGTAACCATTTTGATCTTTACTTGTGGCGTCGCTCATGCATGCAAGAAATAAAGAGATTTTTGTTGACTGTTGAGTGGGATCTCTAATATAATTATTAATAATGTGTCATTTATGCGTGATTGTGTATGTGTGTATGTATGTAATTGTAATTGATACATGCTGAAGTAAATACTTTGTACACTATTGCTATTACTATTATAGTACAATTAATAATAATTATTATTATCACTATTTATGTCGTTAAGTATAATGAGGAGTAATATTCTGGAAGAATAGGATTGTTGTTGGTATGGATGTATTCATTTGTTCAAAATTCTGACCTGCCCTTGTTTGTGCTGCTTTTTGATAAATCAATAGTACAGAGGGAATCCTACTGATTTCTTTTAAATTTTGTATTCTAAAGCCTCTTTTTTGAAACTCAACTCTCCAATACTGTAGTCTTTAATTTGACATAATACTAGCACCATTTAATATTTAAATTATAAATGCTTAATTTCAATGTGAGAAATGATGACTGGGTAGCTTGCTTAGTAATCTTCACTTCTGAGCTCTTTTACATCTACTATCTACGCTTTATCTATCATCACTGCTAGGTAGGCGTGTGCTCAAAAGCTGTTAACTACAGAGATGGAAGAAGATGAGTGTCTGGAGTCCTTGTACATCAAATCCAGTGACTGTGTCGATGTTTCCTGTATAGATAGAGAAGTAAAAGACACTCTGCCCTTTACACTAGTCTCCTCCATTTTATCTGTGCTGGGAAGCACTGCAATCATAATACCTTTCTTCATCTGGAGAGAGATGAGGGCCTCAAACACAAGGAGGATTATATTCCTTCTAGCAGTGGCAGACTTATTTACTGCTGCTAGCTTTATTTCAGCCGTGGTAAGACACTATATCTTCCTCGAGGGCCATGAATATGATGGGGAAATTACCACTAGCTTCAGCATTGAAGTGAGGAAAGACACAGGGTATAAGAATTTCTGCGAAGTCCAGGCATTTTTTACAGTTTATTTCCAATGCGTGGCTTTCTTCCTCACAGCATTTCTTGCAGTTTATTTCTTCATCATTTTAGTCCTCAAGAATCTGAGGCTGGCCAGAAAATTAATGCTACCATTCTGTCTCAGTGCTTGGGCCGTACCGATCATAATTTGTGGCTACGTCCTTTCACATAGAAAGTTTGGTATTGGTGATTCAAGGACCTCTGTTGGCTGGTGTTTTATTGACAATAAATTTGTTCTGACTCGTAACAGGACTAAGCACGATCAAAACGTAGTTATATACTTCCTCTGGGAGCTATTTGCACAAAAACTCTGGGAGATGTTAGCTTTTTTTGTCATTATAGTCTGCTATTGTTTCATACTATTCACCAATAGATGCAAGTGCAGAAAGAAAGTGAGTTAAGTTAGAATGTACTATACTATATAGCTGTCAGGCATAGTAACAATCATGCTTTATATCTTAGAACTGCAAAATACATTTATAAAACTAAATGATTTTATGATTTTTAGATTAAGTTAAAGTCAGAAGAGAGCTCATTAATTGAGTCTGATGAAGATGGGCAGTGGACAACAAGGCATGCACAGATCAAGCCCAAACCTTCTACCCCTGCTAAAGGAATGAGAGACGTGCAAGCAGCTATATCAAAGGCAGATTGGAGGCTGGCCCTTGTGCCGCTAGTTTTCCTCCTGCTTCGTTTTTGGGGAAACCTCCGCTTCTTTATCTCAATGATGAATAACTGTCATGTGTATGCTGCTCACCCTAAAGAATACAGCGGGTTTTTCTGCGTCGAGCCAGAGTGCTTTAACTTGCTTTATAATAAAGAAATACTGACACTGCATGTAAGGATAAGTGAGAGAGAGAGGGAGTACAAACTATTAGTAAGAATTTGTGCTAAGATAACATTGTTATTACAGTGCTATTGTAAGTATTGTTGGAAGTGGGGCATGTGTTGATCACATGTTAAAATTTGATACTCTGCAATAATCATATCTGTATCTATAGGCGATTGGTGATCCAGCTCAAGGTTTTGGTAATGCTATTCTTTTTGTCTTTCTTTCAAGGAATATCATGAGCAAGCTGTTGGGACCTGTTTTAAAGGTTTTCAGGAGCTGTAGGAAAAAGAATGACGTTAATAATAACACGAGGAATGATAGTAGACCATCCAGAGCTGCAGTCATAGTGACTTATCATAGCAAAGATAAAAAATCACATTATGCAAAGATATATTGAGTGATAAGCTTTGATTTTAGAGCTGGTAGTGAATTTTTATTCCATTTTTATTCCAATTTTTAATTCACAATAATTAAAAAAATTCATTAGTGCGTAGGCGTAGATAAGCTGATTGGCCATCTCAATGGAAGACTTAAAAGAGGAGGGTATGTGCATTAATGCTTCTGATCGGGAGCTTGCTGATAGTAGTATCTTTTCTTGCGTTGAAGGATGCACGGAGCTCAAACGTCAGGAAACTCATCTTCTTGCTGGCAGTTGCTGATCTTTTCACTGCAGCCAGTTTCATTGCTGCCGTGGTGAGACGCTATGCCTTCATGAGCGGTCGTGATGTGGATCAAAATGTCAGCAGAAGCTCTACAATGAGGGAAGATTCGAGCTATTTGACATTCTGCAAAGCCCAAGCGGTCTTCACTGCTTACTTCCAATGCGTGACTTTGTTTCTCACTGCCTTCCTTGCAGTCTACTTCTTTATCATTTTAGTCCGCAATAATCATAGACTGGCCAGGAAACTGATGCTTCCATTCTGTCTCATGTCGTGGGGAGTGCCAATTATTATTTGCGGCTATGTCTTCGCAAATGACAAGTTTGGAATTGGTGACTCTCGTAGCTCAGTAGGCTGGTGCTTCATTGATAACATATTCATTTTATCAAGTAATCCAACCAGTTATAAGAATAAAGTCATCATGTATTTCCTCTGGGAGCTATAGGCACAGAAACTTTGGGAGATGTTAGCTTTTTTTGTCATTATAGTCTGCTATTGTTTCATACTGTTCACCAATAGATGCAAGTGCAGAAAGAAAATCAAGATAGATCAAGTAAGTGCAATGTAATTGTATTTTCTAAAAAATGGCTTCAAAATCACCTCCAATTTTTATTACATTTTCTGATACATATTGATGTCCTTATGCTGAGTAGCAAGTTTGAGCTGATTCCGACTTCAATTTTTTGAGTTACGGCCATTTAAAAAAACGGGCCTAAATCTGAAAAAATCCCTGTACTATAGCCCATGGTTTTTTCCAAAAAATGGCTCCGAAATCACCCCAAATTTTTATTACATTTTCTGATACATATTGACGCCCTTATGCTGTGTAGAAAGTTTGAGCTGATTCCGACCTCAATTTTTTGAGTTATGGCCATTTAAAAAACGAGCCAAAATCTGAAAAAATCCCTGTACTATAGCCCATGGTTTTTCCCAAAAAATGGCTAAAAATCACCTCCAATTTTTATTACATTTTCTGATACATATTGATGTCCTTATGCTGTGTAGAAAGTTTGAGCTGATTCTGACCTCAATTTTTTGAGTTACGGCCATTTAAAAAAACGAGCCAAAATCTGAAAAAATCCCTGTACTATAGCCCATGGTTTTTCCCAAAAAATGGCTAAAAAATTACCCCATTTTTTATTAGATTATCTAATGCATATTGATGTCCTTATGCTGTGTAGCAAGTTTGAGCTGATTCCGACTTCAATTTTTAAAGTTACAGCCATTTTAAAAAACGGGCCAAAATTTGAAAAAATCCCTGTACTATAGCCCATAGTTTTTTCCAAAAAAATGGCTAAAAAATCACACCCAATTTTTATTACACTTTCTGATACATATTGATGTCCTTATGATGTGTAGAAAGTTTGAGCTGATTCCAACTATTTTTTGAGTTACAGCCATTTTAAAAAACGAGCCAAAATCTGAAAAACTCCCTGTACTATAGCCCATGGTTTTTCCAAAAAATGGCCAAAAAATCACCTCCAATTTTTATTACATTTTCTGATACATATTGATGTCCTTATGCTGTGTAGAAAGTTTGAGCTGATTCCGACTTCAATTTTTAAAGTTACAGCCATTTTAAAAACGGCCCAAAATCCAGAAAAATCCCTGTACTATAGCCCATGGTTTTTTCCAAAAAATGGCTGAAAAATCACTCCCAATTTTTATTACACTTTCTGATACATATTGATGTCCTTATGCTGTGTAGAAAGTTTGAGCTGATTCCGACTTAAATTTTTTGAGTTACGGCCATTTAAAAAAACGAGCCAAAATCTGAAAAAATCCCTGTACTATAGCCCATGGTTTTTTCCAAAAAATGGTTGAAAAATCACTCCCAATTTTTATTACACTTTCTGATACATATTGATGTCCTTATGCTGTGTAGAAAGTTTGAGCTGATTCCAACTTCAATTTTTTGAGTTACAGCCATTTTAAAAAACGAGCCAAAATCTGGAAAAATCCCTGTACTATAGTCCATGGTTTTTTCCAAAAAATGGTTGAAAAATCACACCCAATTTTTATTACATTTTCTAATACATATTAATGTACTTATGCTGTGTAGAAAGTTTGAGCTGATTCTGACTTCAATTTTTTGAGTTACAGCCATTTTAAAAATGAGCCAAAATCTGAAAAAGTCCCTGTACTATAGTCCATGGTTTTTTTCCAAAAAATGGTTGAAAAATCACACCCAATTTTTATTACATTTTCTGATACATATCGATGTACTTATGCTGTGTAGAAAGTTTGAACTGATTCCAAGCTCAAGTTTTTGAGTTATTTTTAAAATAAGGAGGATCATATGCTACGTTATATATATTTCTTTTGTAGAAGAAACAAGAAGTGGCTCCAAAAGAAACAGACTCACTAGTCGATTCTGACGATGAAGGACAATGGACATCACACAAGCTATCAAACACAAAATCTTCCACTCAAGCGCAAGGAATGAAAAAAGTAGAAAAGGCAATTTCCAAGACGGATTGGAGGCTGGCCCTTGTTCCTCTCATCTTCCTCCTTTTTCGATTCTGGGGCAACCTCAGGTACTTTATCACAATGAGAAATGATTGTCACTTGTTTGTGGATGAGAACTATTTTGATGGCTACTTTTGCATCAGCGAGACCTGCTTTAACTTGCTCTATAGCAAAGGAATATTAATACTGCATGTAAGGACACAGCTAGTCTAACTATGTAGCATGAGAAACGATTGTCATGATACTTAATACTCAAGGGTATAATGATGTAACATATTCCATTTTGTTGTAATTTTTTAGGCATTTGGTGATCCTGCTCAAGGCTTTGGTAACTCCATTCTATTTGTCTTCCTTTCAAGAAATATAATGAGGCGACTGATAGCACCTGTTTTGAAAATATTGGCTCCACTAAACTGTAGAAAGAAGACAGAAGTGATAGAAGTCAACTCTAATAGAACTGAGCTTCGAAAAGACAGCAAACCAGCTAAAGCCAGGATAGTATTGACGTACAGTCATAAAATGTAATTTTTCAAGTACTAATAATTATTAATGTTTTTAAAAGACTTTAATAATTTCAATGTGTGATTTTGAAAAAAAAGAAAAAAAAGAATGTGACTAAAATTGTTATACACAATTATATTTATAATAATAATATGCATGAAGTTTTTATGATAATTTTAATAATAATAATAATAACTTTTAAAGGCAGGATAAAGCCTAAAAATAATTATAATACTGAGAAGGAGAGGGAATTGAAAATTTCAACAACTAATAATAATAATAATAATAATAATAATAATAACAAAGATCTATGTACAACAAACATACAGTACATATCAAGCAAAAAAATACATGATGGAGTCAATACACTTTGTATTTGCTTTAAGGCATGGATGAAGTGTGTGCTTATTTTTAAAATTTATTAACTTTATTATTTTTTTTTCATAAATTCTTAACTTCTATTTCCAGTCGTATGTAGATTCATGATGACACCAGGCCTTGCTGCAGCTGAAGACGATGTGGAAGAACCCGATGAAGACTGATGAGCATATTTCTGCTGTTGCTGCTGCTGGTGCTTAAGAAGCTCTTGCTGCAGGAGCAACTCTTGCTGCTGCTGCTGTTGCTGCTGCTGCTGGAGTAATATATACTGCTCCAATTGCTGGTACTGTGAGACAACATTCTGAAAGTTGGGGTTGTTGATAATGCTTGGGTTTTTCTGGTATTCTTGCATGTAAAGGAGGTATCGCCTCTGAAGATCTTGAAAGTGTTCCTGGCTAATGAGAGCAACCTGTGGGTTTTGCTGCTGTTGTAATAACAACTGCTGCTGCTGCTGTTGTTGGAGAGCTTCCAAGTTGGCGGCGACCATGTTATTGGGTAGGAGAGAGAGAGACAATGGCTGATGTGGGTGGTGATGGGCTCCTGGCTGATGGTGATGGGAGGACGAGGAAGAAGGCCCGTCGTCGTGGTGATGGGCACCGGTATCCATGACGATGGTAGGCGTGGCGACGATAGGATGAAAAGGATGGTGTGGATGGGCGGCTATGACTCCCTCGGGGAGCGAGTGGAGGGTGTGGCCGCTCCGTTGGAGGCGTGTCATTTCCTCGGGGGTCGGGAATTGAAATATCATTCCTTGCTGTTGCTGGTTGCCGTGCTCTGTGGCAGATTGTAAAATATGAGGTCCACCTGCTCCAGGCTGAAAGGCAACATGCTGTGCGGCTCCAGTCTCCAGCTGCTTCTGCATTGCCATTGCTAGCGCCTGTTGCTGTTGCTGCTGCTGCTGCCATATGAATATATCCTCTCTCGCCATGTGGGGGGGAAACTGACGTGCCATGGCAACGATAGAAGCCGGGTCGGCCCCGGGGGGGATTGTGGGGGTCAAAGCTGGAGGCATGGGAAAGCCGATAAAGTGTCCCGGGCCACTTGGAAGGTGTGGGTCGTATGTCGTGATGGTGGGGACTTGTTGCTTGGTGGAAGTGGTCTGTGTTTGAAGTTGAGGTGCAGGTGGGATGGGGTTGCTGGGGGGGAGTTCTGGCTGTCCAAAGGAGAGATGAGGAATGTGATGTGGAATAGCCTAAATAGAGAGAATATGATGAAAATGTGAGTGAAGCAACTTTAAAAATAATTCGTAAAAAATCCAATTTTGATTGGAATCAGCTCAAACTTTCTACATAACATAAGAACATGTATATGCATCAGAAAATGTAATAAAAATGGAGAATTCTCTCCTTTTCATTTTCGGTGAAATTTCGCCTGAGACCATGTACCCCAGTACAGGTACTAGTATAACGGCACATGCTATAAAATGAATTCATTATTAAAACTAATTAAATACCTTTTGTGGCTGTGCGAGTGCTTTCCTTTCTTCTGGCGACGGGTGAACATACACAAGATCTGTTCTAGCGCAAGATGATTCCGTATCCTTGCTGACTCTCATGAAGGACTGTGGTATGGGATTCTGAGGTATGGGAGTATGGGTAAGAGTCTGAAACGCTTTAGAAAATGGAACCGAGCTCTTCGGAGTAGTAGCAGACAACGGCCTACAACAATAATAAATATTTTAAAATTCAATTATGTAATAGTTCAATACTTATACTAATTAAAGTTAATTAATTTCAATTAATTAATTAATTTTAATTAATTATTGAGGTCGTGAATTATTAATGAGCGAACGCCCTCTTACCCAGTTCTCTCTTCTCCACTGCTTTCCGGGCTCTGTGAGCTGGACTGCTGCTCCTCCAGCGACTTCCTTCCATTATCATCTTCTTCCTCCATTACTCCTTCCTCAAACTCGTCATCGTCTCTTGCATAACTAGTACTTGGGCCGCTACCGCCTCCGTCTTCATCGCTGGCCGCTCCCTTTAAAAATGAGGGAAAGAAAAAATGTATAAGTCAAAAATATACAAAGATTCGCCAAATTTTCTTGCTAAATGTAATTATTATTAATATTATAATAATTACTGTTATTTTACGTACTTCTCTCTGTTGATCTTTTTCCTCTTTGATTTTTTTCTCAGACGGTTCGGAGCTAGCGGATGCTTCTCCCTCGCTGGCTCCTCCCCCTGCCATGCCTCCTGATATATTAGCAGCTGTCTTGTTATCGTTGTCAAGTAAGTCCATTAGTGATCGCCTCTGCTGTAGTTCCCTGTTCCTCTTTTTAGTGCTTATTGGGACTTCGAAACTCTCAGTACTGCTGAATTCACTCGTTTCAGAACCTAGAAAAACCATCATCATTATCTGTAATTTTATCATTACAAAAATATTGACAGGGAATTAATATCGGACGATCAACGATTGCAATATAAGCAAATATAAAACCTGCCATTTAGTTTGCATCCTAAATGACACATCTGCTAATTCACTAATATAAACTTCACCAATTGCAAAATCACCAAAATTTAATTCCCACCAATATTTCCAGGAGTGCAATAGCACATAGTTTTATTATTCATTGCAGAGTCTTGTTTACATTCCATTTCCATGTGAGGAACATGTTTAAATACTATAATTTGTTGTCAAACATTTAATTAATTTAATATTATAGACACTACACACACACACACACGCCTTACATGAACTAAATGTATAAATAAAAATTACACACATAAATGCTTAGAAATAGCATTTACATGTACATGAATATGCATAAAAAACGTAGGTTATTATTATTATTTTTTTAAAAGACAATTTAGAAATTTAGGAGCTTTAGGAATGAAGCACAACTCTTGGCCCTAGTACATGTACTAATTGTCTTCCATTTATTTCTATTTATTTTATTTTATTTTATTCATACCTTCTTCATCTTCATCAGAGTCTGACTTGCTGAATATTTTCCCGTTCCTCAGGCCAGCGTGAGGGAGACGCACATTGTTGCTGTTCCTAGTCTTCCTCCTACTCTCTTCAGCAAGAGCCTGTAGAGAAAGAGAGAGAGGGGGGGGGGCTAAATTGCTTCCTGTTTGAGATTTCAAATTCTCTTACCACGTGGTAGTCTTTAAACATGAAGGCAGGCGGCTCACGTTTAACTGAAGTGAGAGAGAAAGAAGAGAGAAATATAAAGAGGAAATTAATATTAAACTATAAGTACATGTACTTGTACTACATATAGTAATAGGTATAACAGTCATAGTTTACATGGTTTTATAGATGTACATGTAGCATGTATATGTATTTTATACATTGCTAACCTGTCAAAGGCCTCATGCAGCTGTACTTTCTAAAATATAGTCTACAATCATTGCAGAGTATCGTCTTGTTTGAACCACTGTGGTGCCAGCTGCTCGACTCTGAAATGAGAGAGAGGGGGGGAGAGAGAGAGAGAGGAGAGAGAGAGAGAGAGAGAGAGAGAGAGAGAGAGAGAGTAAAGGAGAATGTGGCAGGAGTTACATGCAGGTATATGCTATGATATGTACATGTACAAGATATTAGTGAACATGTTTATCAAAACAAACCAAGTTAGTAGCATCAATAATGTTGGCACTCGCAATTCTAATACAATCAACTCAAAACACAAAATATGTGTACCAACACATACATGTACAACGTAGATCACACACACACATTATTATTATTATTTATTATTATTATTATTATTATTATTATTAATTCTTACCAGTGCTATAGCAATGTCTGCAAGCATGATAACTGTCGAGAAAAAAAGAAAGAAAATAAATTATACTAATAATAATTATTATTATTAGAACTCACACGAAGCATTTCTCTCCCTCATCATCGATCATTTCATCTTCTTCACCAGAACTGACATCAACTGGAGGAGAGAAAGAGAACAAGGAAATGCAAATTAAAATACTTTAAATTGTCACATTTAAAAACCCTATAGTAATATACCACCACCATACAGCCTAGCTTGCAGGCAATATTCTACAGAGTGGCAGTGAATCTGTGGTTGCTTTGATCTTATAAGCAAGATGTAGCCCAGAGTATAACAGCTCTCCTTCCTTGACTACAGTGTTATGCTACAAGATCAAAGCCACCACATATAATATAACTGACTGGTGTATGATAAACTTAGTTCTCACATTTCTTAGAACTCTCCTTCCCTATCTCTCAATGATTTGTTCCTTAATTTCCTTCACCCCCCCCTCTCTCTCTCTCTCTCTCTCTCTCTCTCTCCCCTCTCTCTCTTACTGAATTCCTTTTCTGGTTCTGGTGACTTGTCCTCAGGCTTCATCATGGCCCTGCTCATCCTAATATGAAACTGCTTCCTCTGCTTCCTTGTGTTGCGAGAGGACAGACCAGCTGTGGTCTTCTTCCAGTAGTAATAATATTCAATTAATTCAGTCTGTGAAGAGAGAGAAGGAGAGACAGAGAGATAAAAGGTACGATCAAAGAATGAGTTAAGTCACAATGTGTGTATGGAGATCAAGAGTTTAATTAGATTATAGTAATAATTGAAATATTTACACAGTCTATAGACTGCCAGCGTTATCATTATAACAATTATATAAATAAATAAATAAATAATAGTAATAATAATAATAATAATAATAGCAATAATAATAATGAATTAGAATAAAAGAAGTACAGTGTAGCCTCTATATAATGGACACTTTGGGGTCAAGGAAGTGTCTCTGTTATACAGAGGTGTCCTTTATGTGGAGGTTATTTTATACAGTAAGGAATGTAATTGGTAGACTAGGTTAATGGAGGTGTAGTAGAGAGAACTGTATTCACTAAATACATGTAGATGTACATGTATGTTCATTCATTAATGACAGCTACATGTACATGTACATGTATGAGTGTGTACATGTACATGTACAGGGAATCAGTTGAGTGTGTGTGAGTGTGGTTGGTTGGTTGGTTGGTTGGTGTCTCTATCTTTTCAAAGTTTGTTTGTACTCACTATTTCTTTATTTGGCAATAACTCATTCTTTATCTTTCTGAAGTTTTTACCAAACTGTCTCATCCCTTTGGCAAAAAGGAGCTGGAGGGAAAGAGGAAAAGAAGAAAGATTAATCATAAGGTACATTAAGTGAAGGCATTTTGATTACAGAGTGTTCTTTGCTCCAGTTTTTCTTTCTGTGGAGCTTCCCTACATTTGGCTTCTTGATTATTGCCAGGAGTGCTTTCTCAGTATCATAATCATTACTATGAAGCTAAAGGGAGGGAGAGGGAGAGAGAGAGAGAGAGAGGGAAGAGAGAGAGAGAGAGATAATAAAGGATAATTAAGTTCTTCAGAAGTATATGTACACATACATGTACATGTAAATAATAGGCAAAGTGTGTGTGTTTAAATATGACAGAAATATGATACTTTGTCTATAGCTATAATGATGAGTGATCATCCTCAAAGTATTTCAATTTTTAACTTACCACATCAAAAGCTCGCTGAGTAGTCTCATCAGAAGAAGCGGCCTGTAAAGACATATTTAAATGCCATGATTGTATGAGGGCTATAATTACCATGTATCCATCTCTTACTAGTCCTTGCATACACACTCCAGCATGTAATGCTACACTCCTGTATAGAGAGATCGAGTGATAAAGGAAGGGGAGGGTGTGAAAATCTTAAATTCAAATGTATACCTTGCTGCCCTTAGGTACATGAGTAAATTATCATCATCAATATTTGTCTTCCAAATCTAGAGAGGGGGGAGGGGAGAGAGAGGGGGGAGAGAGAGTGAGAGGGGGGAGAGAGAGTGAGAGAGAGAGAGAGTGAGAGAGAGAGAGAGTGAGGGAGAGAGATGTGCTTATTTAAACATAAACTAACAAAGTGAAAAACAAACTATGTATACCCAAAACACTAACACAGCTGCTACTCCTGGCAGTATCAACCAATCAAACAGAACAAAAACACATTCATAATGCACAAATCACTCTGATAAATCACTGATATTCATTAAAATAATAATTACACTCTCAATTAGCCAAACAAGTATGTAAGTATGTACATTATGCGGTTCTGTGTGCATACCCATTTATTTGGGTATTTCTAATCAACAGGCCCATTATCTACTCTCATTCAAGCATTCAAAAGCCATAAGCACAACAGTATGTACACTAGTATGTACAGCTGCAATGAAAGAGACTGGAGCGGCTGCTTTTTGTAAGAAAAGGGACTAATGTGTACCATATCAGAAGCATTGAGTGTAAATGGATTGAACGCGGCAAGCGTGGCCATTATTATATTTCTCTCCCAGACTTTACAAGCTGACTAATAAGACAGTGATCATGCTAAAGGAGGTGTACATGTGGCGTGTATCTAGAAAGAGATTTTAAAAATAAAAGTACATGTACATGTACATTGTAGATAAAAGGTGGGCCGAGTTTGTATTCATAACCGGCCACACTGACCACATTGATAGATGTAAAATAAACAATTCATTATATTAGTGTCCTTTCACTAAACACACACGTCACTTATGCCACTTCTATACCCTAGCTCTTTCTCTCTGAACAGTCACTTACTAGTGTTTCAGAAGGAGGAGATGTTTGATCACTAACGCTATATCTGTCCAGTTTCTTTGTTTCTTTGTGTTCTCCATCTTGCTTATTGCTGTCCTCCTTCTCCTCACTGTCACTGAATGGTTTATAATCAGGGAGTTCAGCCTGAAAGAGAGAGAGAGAGAGGGAAAGAGAGAGAGAGAGGAGTGTGGGTGAAAAAGAGGGGAAACAGAAGACGTGTAAAAATAAGGAGGAGTGAAAGCAATTTGTCCTTGTGTGTATAGACTGTTCTGTGTGGCCAGGAGCTATTATACATGTAGTTCCAAATGTGTGTGTGAGTTTACATTGTTTATATACTAACTTGTTGGCTATAAGGAATAAATGAGAACTCATCCATTTTTGTCATTCTCCTAATAGGAATTAAGAGAAAAAGGGGGGAGGGAGGGAAAAGGGGGATTATGATGGAGTTATAGTGGTGTACATACAAGGGATAATGTAATAAAATCTACTGTTTGCTATAGACAGAGTAAGTAATAGTACAAATTGGCACAATTTTCACAGGTAGTTCTCTTCAATAGAAACATGTTAATAAGCAGCATAGTCACTAACTAGCACTGGACATAATAACACCTGCTGTTATCCCTCCTTCTCTCTCTCCCTCTCTCTCTCCCCTCCTCTCTCTCTCTCTTATCTTTGTTTACAGTTTGTTGTATAAAATTAGCACTGTTATGTCTTTGCTTCTTTACCTTGACTCAGGCTTGTAGCCATGTTGATAAAAGAAGTGATTCTCCAATGGAAGAAATGAAGCCATGTCAGTTATGGTAGAGAATTCTTCAACAACACATTTACCCCTTTAAGAGGAAAAGGGAGAGAGGGAAAAAGAGAGAGAGGGGAGAGGGAGGGAGAGAGAGAGGGGGAGAGAAAGTGACAAAAGGAAGAGAGGGGGAGAAAGAAAAATATTCATAAAAGGTACATATGTGAATTATGAATAAAATCTCTCATATTATCAACAATTACTCAAGCTGCTATACCATATACTAATGCAATTCATACAGTACATTTACATGTTCATATACATTTGTATTGTAGGACCTTCAATGTCCACAAAATTACATCATAGGACATATTACATCACATGATAACAGAGCGTGTAGAAATTAAGAGATCATTTGTTCACTATTGGATATGTTGCTTAGGATAAACGATAAGGTTGTATATGTATTCATAAATAGGATATTGTTTGTTAAATGTGTTTTGTTTACTTAAATAACATAATCAACATTCCACAAACACACACACACACAACTCTCTCTCTCTCTCCCCTCTCTCTCTCTGCATTTATTAAAAGGATTATTAGTATCGTGCAAGTATCAAGAAACATGTCAATTGTTTACACGTCCCGTTGTTGAAAATAAAGAATGCAATTAACACCATGTCAAATAACAAGAGGAGAGAGAGAGAGAGAGAGGAGAGAGAGGGGGGAGAGAGAGAGTTACCTAAATAAATGAGCTGGGTGAGTATCAACATTAAAAGCAGCAAAAAGTTCCCTGTCTCTTATAGAAGTAAGCGCAAAAGTAGCAGCATATTCACCTACAATAAAGATACAAATATAAATGAGAATAGATCAATAATACATAAACACATTCACACACATGTTGTGTACATGATATAAAATATATTATAATGCTTAATACTCATTGGTAGTGTGGGCTATGCCTGGCTTTAGTATGGGCTAATGGGAAAAATCAAATCAAACAAAAAATCTAATTATAATCACTGTATACATGATACACACACATGTACACATACATGTGTAAATATGTACATAGACTCATAGACACAATAATTTACTATACTGGTACCATGCATGTAACTGCACTGCAGGGTCTAATGAATTTTCCCAGAAATTCATGTGGCAGGGGACACTGCCTATGTGTCTTTATGTACAATGATGCTAAGGATATTCATTGGTTATAATATGCGACTGTTGACTATCCAAATGGTAATGTATATCAGTTATTGTAGAGATAAAGAGATTAGGGTCTAATGACAACTGGATTACATTAATACCAGATCACAATACATGGCGACTATGTGTACAGGTACTACATTGCTTAGTGGTGCATGGCTGGTTATTTGACAAATTTTGGTTGCATGCTTATGTTGACATTTTTGTGACAGAGAAAGAGAAGAAGGAAGAGAGAGAGAGGGAGAGACAGAGAGAGAAAGAGAGAGAAAGAGAGAGAAAGAGAGACAGAGAGAGAAAGAGAGACAGAGAGACAGAGACAGAGACAGAGATAGAGATAGAGACAGAGATAGAGACAGACAGAGAGAGAGAGAGAGAGAGAAAGAGAGACAGAGAGAGACAGAGAGAGAGAAGGTGTTAGGAAGTTGGCAACTGTGAACACATGCAAATACCACAAGAGATAAAGTGTTAAAATGCCAAATGCACACATCTTTGCAACTTTGTACAATCACACCAGCACAATTCACACATTCAAATAATAAAGGCACTATAGTGTACCCGGCTGGGTCATGAAAACATTAATCAAAAAGAGACAAAACAGAGTGTATCTCTCTAGAGGGAAGATTATAAAAACAGGATATGCTTCATTAAGAGGACCGTGTACCAAAATACACATAAAGGCTTGAATTATCATTATTAGGTAAGTTTTTGGTGGGAGATTATCTAGTGAGTGCAGCTGGTTTTGGTTTGAAAATGTACTCACTTAATTTCCTGTCCTCCATTAGCTGGTAATAGACTGCTTCTGGCAATTCACACACCCTATAGAACCACTTCACTTCAGCTGTGACTGTATCCTTTCTTGTCTGTTAGGAAGGGAGGAGGGGAATTATAGTCAATATATAAACCATTATATCAGAGACTCTCAAGTATAATATTACACTCTCTTTTGAGAGGTAATAATAATAACAGCTGTGAGCTATACATACATATCTATAAAAGAGGGTGAGACCAAGCTCCCTGTGTTTGGTTGGGAGGGAAAGAGGAGGGGAGAAGGGGAGGCACAAACTCAGTGGCTTCAAATTAGTTTAACCAAACTTTGGGGAAGAAAAGGGATCAATGCTAGTGTGGATTGTGTGGTTTTAGGGTCTACATGTTCTACTGGAAGAACAAACATTGTATTCTTCCCTCCTGTGTGGCAGACACGTAATGCACTACTAAACATCTTGTGAGCTCAATTGCCCGCAATGAAAGAATGAAATATGTTACAATGTTTTGTATGTATGTATGTATGTGTGCATATAAAGAAAGGTAAACTTTTTCATGTCCAGGCCAACCAGGAAGAATGGAATATGAAGAGAGTTTCAGTGTTGCCACACAAACAAGTGTATAATATGCATGTCCATATCATATGTATTATGTCTAAGAGATGACAACTCGTGTATCAAAATAAACACACTTATTTGTTTTACATGTAATACATAAAGTTTTAAGAAGGGAACGAGAGAGAGAGAGAGAGAGAGAGAGAGAGAGAGAGAGAGAGAGAGAGAGAGAGAGAGAGAGAGAGAGAGAGAGAGAGAGAGGGAGAGAGAGAGGGAGGGGGAGGAAGACAGCAGCCATTCAAAAGACAGAAGAAAGAAGAGGAAAGGGATGGAGAGAGAAAGTACGTGTGTATACATATGCATTTCGACTTTGCATGACAGATCATAATAAGGACATTTGTAGCATAGCAGGAATCATATAATTTCTAAGTATAATCTGACAGTTAAATGACTAGATGACAACAGGATTCTAACATAACTTGAGAGATTTGAATAGCTGGCAAGCTAAAACAGTTTTTGCTCGCACCTCCCTCCCTCCCTCTCTCTCTCTCTCCCTTTTGTCCTATCATTCATCAATT